CACTAGCAAAATGTGGGTTCATTGTTCGCGTATTAGAGCAACTCCTCTTTGAGTAGCTTGCCTCGACCGTAAAACTTCAGTCTTGGTTGCTGTCGTGAGCAGAATAGGTTTAATCATTCGAATGAGATAGCACTAACAAAATAGTGCCGGAAGCGAGTGGTACTCTAGAATGAGGCTATTATTCATCATAAAATTGACGTATGAAAACTAAAACGAAATATAGAACAGTAGTGAGATATAAACTGGTCAGAACAATGAGTCAGCATGAAATTCTCCCCGAACAAAAAACAAGAAATAGGGGGCAGGGAATGGCGTTTACAAATCTAGTTGATGGTTTGCGTGTGACAATTTTTAAATCTCTCTGTTGCGAAGCCTTTATAGATGAATGCGTTGCTATTGTTTGATCAATGTCTCCAGCTTAGGCCTATGGACATCTTTGCCATAGGCACTATCAGGCGTTGTTCTGGTCGGTATGCTTCACTCGAAGGATGGTCCTCAGGCAGCGGTGGTCAAATACCTCCAGTTTTCGCTCATCTTTCACGCGCAGGGCCCAGCATTCTTTTGATCAATTTGTGAAAAACTCAGTGGCATGACAGTCATCTTGTGGACGGTAGATTGGTTGCTTTGGAAATCCTGCTTAGGCACTCAGCTAACTGTATCAGAATTGGCGAATTCCATACTTTAAGTAGACAGGGTGGTTAACTTGACTCAGTGTAATTTAAGTCACGGTCCCCGTTGGGGCTTTATAGTTCGGGTAGTTAACGCGTTGGCTGTACTGAATATTTCCCCTTGTTTTCATACTTTCAACTCCCACTGAGACAGCCGAGTTTTTCCATGAGCGGGTCAACTGGACCGCGAATTAATTTTTCACCCCTTCGCGGTCGGTATATCCTGGAATTTCGTCAGATTTGCGAGCCAGCTGACCGTTCTCTATCGCCACCAGTCTCTTATATGGTAGGCCTCAAAATCGAATAAATACAGCCTTTTTGGTTTAAGTTAAGTGGATAATGCGTAATCTGTTTCCTTTGAAGAGCCGGCATCGGATTTCCTCATAGTTTTCGTCGAAACCTTCTTGGCGCTTTTGCTATATAAGACCAAGGACTGCCAGAGCGGTGGCTTAAGTGGCACCCCACAGTTTCCTCCTCCACCACGTCTGTACTGAGTATTTCCCTCCCTGACTTGCATTTATTCCGGTAAATGTGTTCAATGGTATGCAATAGTACAGTCTTTAAGTCATCTGACATTTGCCTACCGACCAGTCCAGTTTGCACCACACATGGCCTTTTTTATAAGCACGTTACACTGGCCATTCCTACGGATTAATACACAGCCCGCTGGCTGCCAGCGACGCGAGTGGAGGTACGCTCACGCCATTTTCGGCTGCATCGGAAGACGGGCGTTGGT